CTTTGGCTGCTAAATGCTCCACTACGTTCACAAACTAGTTGCTAACTTTGTCTGTTTGCTGAGTTGCACGGTGGAAGACTGAAGCATAACAGTGAAATTGTGGCCTGTAAAACCAAAACAAGAAGCTAAAAGACGCTAAAACGAGGGCAACTGTGGCACAGAGTGATCATTTTCTGACAGTTTGTCATTCTGAGCGAGCGCTTTCATATTAATTGAAGTTATCTGATCTATCAAAGAGCAGCTTTAACTTTCAGAATAAAAAAACCTTTTCATTTTGCTCCTCTGTGTCTTTTTCTACCTTCGGATATAAATCAATAATGACACAGTCTATATCCAGGTAACTAAAGCTTTTGCAGTGAGTGTTAAAAACTACCTGTGTCTGGACTAGTCTGCCTTTTTCTGGAAAAAATCCTCTATCTTAAGGATTTTTTAAACAACAGAATAAAATGTACACCAACAGCTGCCCCTGAATACCAGTAACCAGACATAAAAGAAGTTAGCATCTGTTTTAGGTTTACATTCATATCAGCAAGCACTTAAAAGAAAGAAAAATCACATATTTTCAGAAACTTTATACCTCTACTGGAGATGACAGGTTATAGTTGCAAACAAAGCCTGGAGATCACATTTGTACAGCACTCCCCATCTGTGCTATGGAGTCATGCACATGTGCCCACAGGCTGAAGTGCTGAGTAAATAACAACTAAATAAAAGAGACTGTTGAGCTGCTGATGATGTGCTTACCCACTTTATGCCGGGATTGCATCATGAAAACATCAGCTGTTGCGTTTCATTCGCCCACCAGATTCCACCAGCCGCCACACGCTGCTGATCTGTAGCCAGCGAACAAGACTGAAAAGACAGATTGCAGTCATGACTTACAAGCAGAGCCTGGCTTCTGCAGGAACAACTCAAAACTTGTGCAGACAGCACTGAACATAAGCCAAACCATAAATAACAAGTGGCAAAATGTCCAAAACGAAAAAAAAAACCAAACACATTTGACATTAAGGAAACAATTACTCTTGCATAGATGCCAAGATTCACACAGAATGTGACCAATTTATAAAATAAATCCCACTGTTCACTCCACAAAGGACTTTTAAATGGATATGGGCAGCTGTTAGAATAATTATATACTCCCTTTCCATAGGTAATAATGGTACTGAGGTCCATACAAAAGCACCTTCCACACTATAAATATAAAGATACACTGACAGGTCCACTTGAAGATAATTGACTAGGTGCTGCTGAACCCTCCAAACAATAATGCATTATTGAAAATACAAGACCGTGAAGCGAGCCACTCTGTTTGTCATGCATGGAACATCTGCGTGGAAATAAATAAAATGTTCAGAGGGAATGTTGTCTGAGACAACACTAACCCGAGCTACGAGCTCATCAGCAGACCCGGCGCCAGAACACACAGTCCGGCTACTCTGTCTGTCCTCTCCCTTCCTGCCTGAGCACGACAGACATGTATTTTCTGTTCTTGTCAAAAATAGCATGTGGCCTGTTACACTCCAGCCACCAGAGAACCAAAGAGTGGGATGCAGCTTCTCAGCTCATTACAGAGCAACAGTCTGCCTTATTGGTGTCATAAAGCTACACCTTGGAGAGCTCACACCCCAAACAGCATCCTCCTCTTGAAGTGTGCAAAGCATACATTCATTTAAACTTCATATTTATCCAAGAAAAAGGGTTTGTTAGGCTTTCATATTGCAACAGAAGACTTCAACAGCTGGTGGCTGAGCAGGGTTTATGTGCTCTGATCAAGGGCCTTTTGATCACAATTGTTGAGGTAAAGGAGAGGGTTAGTCACTCCTTGATCTTGATAGAATGTCCTCTCCAGATAAATGGCACCATTTGTTTTTCAAACGACTCAAAATGACCTGAGATTGGTATCGGAGTGGAAAGTAAGAGAATATTTGACTCTGAAGTCATGAGGAGGATGTAGGAGGAGGACGGGCAAGACCGGCTTTTGCATCCCGTCTCCCAATAAATGAAAATTAGAGCTTTGACCCGACCTGTAAATCTGTGCTAGCCCGAACTACGGAAGCAGTTTTGAGCCAGAATTTCCTCTTTAAAGATAGATAGATAGACTTTATTAATCCCCGAAGGGAAATTGGTTAAACAAAACAAAAATAATAATAATAATTTAGTACACTCCACTGTGCATATAGTGCAAAATATTATCAAAACAAATAAATAACAAACTCGCTCATTAATTACAGTTGCATTATTAATAAAGTATTAAATATATATATATATTATAATATTTCTGTCTGAGCCGACACAAGCCCGTAGGCAGAGAACCAAAGCTCTAACAAAACGTGTTTTACTTCTTATTTTCCTGCACAAATTGAGAACATCAAGTTTGCAGCAATTACTTTTGCAGCCAGCATGTGACACACACGCTCTAAAAGGAGGTAGGGCAAAATAAACTCGAGGTCTCAGTGGCGTCTCTGAGGTGCAAAATAATTTGCAGTGCTCTGACTAGCACTGGCTAAAAATGGCAACAACAAAGGCAAACAGGTGTAAGTTTGTACAGCCTGTTGTCTGCTAAATCTGAGAATGAGCATGAGTAACGGTGGTTAGAATAGCTGAATTAACAATTTCCACACCAGCAAGACGTGAGATGTTGTGATCTGTGGATACAGCTGAGACTTGTAATGTAAGCAGCACGTGGTAAGCTACGTGTATCTTCACTGTCAATATTGCTTCTGTTTCTACAGTTTGTATAGATATGTTGTTCCCATTGTTTGGGTAAGTGCCAGCAGAGATGAGTCAGGCCAGTGAACTGCTCCAATGGGAATCGTATTGACTTATCACTCTGGCTTTGGTGTCTGGTAAGATATTGGTGAGTTCACACCCAAAATTACATCATTTTCCACCACGAGCCAGCACTACCAACAGACAGACTCTCTGGCTAGCTTCCAACCTTAAAAGGAGGTTCAACTTTGAAACATCCGGCACAGGTCCTCTTTTGATAAATAATGGCCTGTATATTCAACATCAGAACCAACTGTAACTGGGGATTTTTGGCCTTTCCAGCAGCATGGCTTTGGTCCAGGCTCAACATATCTCCACATCTTTGAATGGATTAACACAGATTTGTGTACAGACATTCATGGTTCCACAGTGATGCCTTTAGGGATCCTTTGACTTTGCCTGTATCACCATAATCAGGTCAAACTATGTCCAACACTTTTTATGACCCAATTCCGGCAAAACTAATCACATTCCCATCAGCCTCAACTGTACTTCTTAGTGCCGTTCTAAATAGCAAATGTTAGCATGATAAATGAACTAAACATGGTAAACATTTAAATCAGCATTGTCATTGTGAGCTTGTTAGCCTGTTAATGTTAGCTTTAAGCTCAAAGCACGCATGTATGATAATATGAGATAATTAAGTGCATTGTTTCTATTTAATTTATAAGCCATTTAGACAGGTTGCTGTAAAGTGCGGTCCAAAAAACACCTTGAACTGCAAAGAAGGTGATTTATAACTATTTCTATTTAGAAGGTTTGATCCATGGAGGTTTTATCTTAGTAAAACTTTCCTCAAGCTGGGGGAAATCACAGCCTGGGCCAGCGGGAGAAACACTACTGCATATATTAAGCAGCCAGCATATACCCAGGAAGAAAACCCAGAGGCTAGAAACTTCCTTGGCGGATACGGAAGTCAAACAAATGTAATTGGATTGAGTAGGAGCCATCTTGGCATCCAGTATCTAGTTTGATTATACACCTATGGGTTGCAGTGATAACAAAATTAGCAGAACAGGCTGGTGTCCTTTTCCCCAGTAACTTCCTCCAGCTCTTCCCGGAGGAGTCCCAGGTACCCCCAGGCCAAGCTGGGGGAGCTACCAGCATGTCCTGGATCAGTCTGTGCAGAGCACCTACACAGGGAAGTGCACAAGGAGTTTCTTTCCCAAGCACTAATATAATCTCAACTGACTCCACCACAGTTGAGTACAACATCCAAACTACTGCAGTTGCTCCCTCAGTTGGATACCGGAACTACTGCCACAGTTTTCAGAGACTGAACCAGGACTTCAGACCTAGAGGTGATGATCCACATCACATTCAGCAACCTTCTGGCTGCAACAAACTGTGATCACTCATGTGCACTGGAGCAGTTTGTTGCAGCCAGAAGGACAGTATCATCGGCAAAGAGCAGATAACACCCTAATGTCAGTGAATTGGACTCGCTCCAGACCTCAACTGCACATTTATACACTTCAAATGCTACGAAGAAAAAAGAGGAAATTTAGTTTAAGGTGACTCCACTGTCCATCTTAAAAGTCTTCAAATGTTGCCTTGGTAGCAAGGAGACACAATTGCTTAGGGGGACCAAATGGCTTACAGTGTTGACCCTGGCAGTCTGCACTCCCATAGGGGATGATGGGCAACATGGTCAAAAGCCTTTTCCTAATCCACAAAAAACACATTCTGTGATCCACCAAGACTGAATCCATAAAGATTTTTGTTAAAAAATAACCTCGACCTGTTTGATCATCAGTTGTGTAAAGTTAAAGTAACGTTCCTTAAGTTAAATACATCTCACAACGCATCTAGGCTTGTCTACTCTAAGAGAAATACAGAAAACAGAAATAAACTAGCAATATATTAGTGCAGTCACCACACACAAATCATTTTAACTGCATATTCTATGACTCTAAAGTATACAGAAACTATGATATAGGCAGTGAGGTTAGAGTTTTATTAGGTAGGAGGACACTGTGTTTAGGGGTGTGTGTGTGAGAGAGACAGAGAGATAGTGTGCTAGGGAAATCAATATTTCATCTCATCAGGTGTTTATCTGAAGGGCCATGCAGTAAATATCACTGATGGATGGTTAGCAGTGGGGTGGGAGAATGCACATTACACTAACAGGTCAAGGTCTTTCTCACGCACACACACACACACACACACACACACACACACACACACACACACACACACACACACACACACACACACACACAAAAGAAAGAAAGAGAAGCCAGAACTGCCAAAATAGACAAACTCCAAATCTTTCTAATCTTGTGAGGACATTTGGTCCTCATAAAGACAGAGCCACAAGAACACACACTAACAGACACATGCATACTGCAATAGCAGTGGGTAACCCTCAGTAATCCCCGGCCTTCGCGTCTCTCCAAAGCAGCTGTGTCGCTCATCTCGCGCTCTGTGAGTGTGCGTGCACGTGTGTGTGTGGGTGTGTGTGTGTGTGTGTGTGATCCCAGAGGGATTCAACAGCAGCATAGCTGACGGTGATGATAGCCGACAGATTATTACTAGCCGTGTGCACTCATGTACCCATATATAGGCTAAAGCGACCCACTGTGTGCATTTTCACTCCAGATATGGAGGGTTGCCTCAGACTACCTGGGACGGGGAAAATTCATTTTCAGTGATTTGTCGGCAGATTTGCCAATATTTTTTATGCTTAAATGTTTCTGAACAGTTATAAAAAATTAACTTGATGGATTGAAATGAAACTGACTCCAACCGTGCTACAATGATAAACAACCTGACTGTGTGTGTGTGTGTGTGTGTGTGTGTGTGTGTGTGTGTGTGTGTGTGTGTGTGTGTGTGTGTGTGTGTGTGTGTGTGTAAGAGTGAGTGAAGGAATGTGGGTGGAATGAAAAAGTGTCAGAATACAGTTGCACTGATAAGTCCAATGGGATTGTACAGTGTGTGCAGAAATGTTTGTGCTCATGTTGTCCATACATACATACTTCATAAAGTATATGTGACCAAATATGTTATTAGCCTGTGGTTATAAGTTGCATTTAATATTAAAAGTGAGACTTTGGAAGAACCCCGCTTTGAGCTAAATGCTAACATCAGCATGCTAACATGCTCTCAATGACAATGTTAACATGGGGCTGTTTAGCAGGTCTAATGTTTACCATTTTAAACATTTCAGTTCAGCATCTTTGCAAAATTCGCATTAAAAACTAAGTACAGCTGAGGCTGATGGGAATGTCCTTAGTTTAGTTTGCCCTACTAATGCTAGACAGAAAAACTACATAAAGTAATAAAGCACTAAAATGAAAAGTAAAATCTAATAACATATACAGTAGTTAAGGCATTCGCTGAACATGTTATGCAAGCTTTGGCTTAGCAAACAGACCATTAGCTAAGCTTTCTGCCCATGCTATGGAAGCCAGTAGGTCAGCATGCACTGAAAGCCTGTTGAGTACACTTCCATCCAACCAGCAAATCTCTATAAGCGGTCAGGAAATAGACCGTGACTTGGGAGCCTAAGGCATTGGAAAAGTGGGATGGTGACAGGACAATTGTTGGTCTGAAGCCCCCGGAGTGGTCGGGGAAACCCGGGCAGGTGGAGGGAATGAATGAATAACAGACTCTGCGGCTTTATCAACTACTCCTGACGTGTCTTTGAGCAAGGCAGAACACTGACTGAACTGCCTAGTGACAAAGAGGAGTAAGTTTTTTGGTGTGTAGCCCCTTCTCATGCAGAAAAAACAACAAACAGAAGAGCAGGTACAACACTGAGACAAAATAGGAACAGCAGTAAGAACAATAAGTCCAATGTAGTACAGCTGTTAAAGCCAGACTGGTGCAAAAGTACCAACAGAATATTGTATTAATGCAAAGTTGTGCAAAAGTTTCGAAAAATCTTGATAAAATATGAAAATCAATTTAACAATTTATAGGCAAGTGGTTGGTAATGGTGCGCAGCTCCCAGCTGCGAGTGTGTGAATGTGTGAAAATCACCTCCTCGAGGCTGCTGTGAGAGCTTGTTAACAAGAACGTGTTAATAAGGGTTAAATAAGAGTTGAAGTTGACAACATATCATCTCTTTCACTCCTCTCCTTTCTTTGTCATACGTCTTTTCTTCTATCAAACACCTGTTTGACAGAAGAAAAGATGATTCTGATAATAAAATAATCCCTATTTTTGCACGTTAAAAGCTACGACATAAGGGTAGTAGAATCCTGAATGCATCTCCTACCAGTGACACTGTATCTGACAGTAGTGGAGCCTTTCGTAGAAACCCGAGTCATAATCTGTATCAGAGATTAAAAACTCTGCTACGGGCCTTAATCCTTCCCGGGGCGCATACACACACTGATGAAGCCCGGCAGCATAAATCCCACTTAGGCAGCTCTGAAGCACGCTTTAATTGAAAGCATTCCACATATTTAAAAAGGTGGCTGCCGCTGTCGGTACAGTCACAAAACAGTGTGTGCATGCGACAGGAGTTTATCTGGGATCAGGACAAGACAGAGTACATACTGAGAAATAACACAACTGTCTGCTTCTGTGCTGCAGCCATATTCAGTGCTGGTCTGTGATATGCATGCACAGCTGGGTTGTGTGTTGTTTGTCTAATTCAGTATTTAAGCTGCAGCATGATGCATGATTGACAAATTTCACACACAAAGGTCCAAAGGCAGCCTCATTGCAGTTCTTTATTACCCTGTGGTGTCTTTTTTGACCCTTCCGTGACCTCCCTAACCACTTTCTCTCTCGCCCGAGGTCACCCCTGCTGCACAGCTAGCATGTGTGCTGACAGGGGAAATGTACCATTAAGTGTGTAGCTTCACAAGATTGAGCTCCCCATCATCACCTGACTCCACAGATTAGACGATAGTGCAATTGAGTGCCAGGGTTAAATCAAGTTGTAGGCTGGTTTGGCTTGTTTGTAGCTGGGCGACGTTCGCCTGAGGCCACGGAGATAGGGCTCGTGAGTAACACCCGCTGTATCTTTAAATAAATCAGAAAAGCGCTGAGAGCTGAATGGGATTTAATACACAGCAAGTACGGAACACAGCAGAAATACAACCTGATCAGGAGTCAGCCTGCGTGTCAACAGCGCAAAGGTAGGTGTGTCATATTACCCTGGAAGCCAATTAGCAGCATGAGACAGCCTTAAAAGAGGTGTGACAATTATAATGGCCCAAGATTTCACAGTTATATAAGCAGAAAAAAAAGGCAGTTAATATTAGCAGTTAGCTATTATCAGCCATTACCATATAGGGAATATTGGAAATTCTGCACTTATGGGTGTCTTGCGAAGTAATAAATGTGTTTCTTGTTTTTAAAAAGCAGTAAAAAAGCAGCATATAAAATTAAGTTTGCTTATAACTGAGATCTTCCGAAGGTAGTTTTGCAGTGATCGTTCAGTGGAGCCTCACAGAGCCGCTGGCTGTAGATTCTGCATCTTGTTTCCCAAATGGTTTGTTATATTACTTCAATAATCTTTTGCCTTATATTATTTCACAAGATAAGATTGGAAAAGCATTAATCAATACACCCCTGTAGAAAAAACTAATTTGTTCCCTTGAAAGGAGTGTAGAGTATTTGAATAAAAGTGGTAAAGCACAAACTCTGCCAGGCAGATTAAAGATATATGAGCCAAATATATCTTGTTTTCTCACCTTTTTAAACTTTCTTAGTAGCAGTAGGTTGTGGACATCAGGTCTAAGATTTTCTACCTGCTGATCTTCAGCGACATACTAATAGACACAATTTCACAAATGTACCAGCCAGCTCCCATGACATCATTCCAGCCAATTACTCTCCAAAAACAAAATCCATAAACCTCAAGTTGCGCCCTGTTGTCATCAGGTCTCTGCTTTCTGATTGTTTTCTTGAATTTCATAAATACTTTCCACGTTAGACAGCTGGATCTGATCATTGGGTACTTACTGCCAAACCATTTCCTGAGGAGCACTGTGTCAACCTGACAAAATAAGTCAGTCCGTTTTTATCACCAGCACGAGTACTCATTGTTGGTGCTGCTCAGGGTAATGAGTGTTTAAAAGTCTGTGTTAATAGATCTGAGTGATTTCTGCTAAAGTCTTTAAGATTAAAATATTAGATTCATCCTGAATTTCAGTGAGAAAGAAAGAATTATCCATGTTTTGAATTATATTTTTTTGTTTACCTGACTAAACAACTAAAACCTTAAACATTTCCTGTGCAGAATGCTTCATGAAGGCTTTATATATTAAAAGTATCTCCATGTTGTAGGATATCTACACTGATTACCTATTTTCTGATTGATTTCAGAGTTTTAAATGATTATTTGTAAGACTTTGCGAGGCCTGGCTTTGGACTAACCTGTCTGAAGAACTCCGGCTGGCAGTCGAAATAATCTCATTATATCTACTTATACTTTCATATTACTGTAAAGCTGGTTTTATTATAATTATTTATTTATATTCACCTTATTTTATTCCACCTGCATTGTCTCTTGTTTCTATTTCATCTGTGAGTGTGTTTTATCTTTCTACTTAATCCAGTCAGGTTTATCTTTCCCAGTTGTTAGGCAGTTTTGTAACTTTCTTATGAAAAGTTCTATACGAATGGTCATTACTGATATATTATTACAGGCACAGGTATGGCAGAACAGGTACTTCTGTAAAGATTTAGTGGACACTGGGAAATATGCAGTGGGCTTGTGGTGTCTGCCTGCTGTGACGGCATATGTGAAATGCCACAGCACAGGAGAGGCTAGTCATCATTTAAATGAAAGTTGTCCACATCCGGTAGCCTGTTGATATCTCAATGCACAGGAATACAGTAATTGCCCTTCGTAATGAAATCAGAGGAGGGACTATCAGTTCAGTCCATCTGTCCCACTATTAAACATTAAACCTCAGGGGCAAGGATTTTTACCCAAACCCTATAATAGACATTAAAATCTCAGTAAAGTGTACATACTTTTCTGCAAATATCTTATTAATTATTAATCTTATTAAACAAATAAGGAAATGCATATTGCTCCATTTACAACATTTTTACACTGGTTATTCTAAGGAGGGCACTACTAATTCTAATTGCACTGATTAGCCAACACAGTACTGTATGGAGCACCCAATAGCTTAAATGCCAGTACATTTTACGCAGGTCTCAATAAAACTTTGTTGTTTTTAGCAGTATCTTTTTAACTTGCAATGTTTTTGTCTTAGGTTTATTTCATAAAAGTAATTCCCAACAAGGGGCACTTGGGTAATGCAGTTGTTTTGGGGTATGTGGAAAGATTGTGGAGCAGCTCAGCACATATAATAAAATATAATTTACATCCACTTTTATATCCACATTATACAGTATTACACCAAATGATGTGTGAAAGGTAGTTAGCAGGCTAGCTAGACCAGTTGAATGCCACAAGCTGTAGTAGTACAAATGCAAAATTGACCAAACTGACCTTGGGGTACATTAGTTCATTTGGCAGGGGGTATACCAGACTGCTCCACAGTATGACTTACACTCCTTGTATTGGTGGGAAAACTGAGCATCTTATCTAGGTCAGTGAGCTATGTGTAAATATAAAATATAAAATATGTAAGTTAGTAAGTAAGCAGCCAATCTGGCATTGTGTCATTCTGGTGAATAAGTTTGTATCAAGGCCAAAGAGGGCTTATGGAACAAATTCCCTTTATTTTATATCACAGTTGAACAATCAACTGTCTTGTTTGCTGATTTCAATTTAGATTCCCTGCAAAAGTAAAACAGGGGTGTGTTTCCTAAAGCTGTGTGGGAACAAGGTTTGACAGCACACTGATATAATGTTAAAATCTTAAAACTCAAATTAAACTTCTATTACTCAATACAGTATGTACCCTCCTCTGCAACCACAGTGTGCTCAAGCTCCTTTCATTTCGTGAAGACAGAAACCTGAACAATTACACAGACGGGAGTTATCAACAAATTGTGCTCTAATTAACTTTGATTTTGGCAGTTTTGATAGCAGGAACATTTTGCTGTTACTGCAGCTACTCGAAATGAGGGAGAAAGGTCTATTAATTAAATTGCTTTGCCTTAAAATCAGTTATAGAAATATGAATCCATAATAAGGAAAAAAAACTTCTCAAGGTCAAGTTGAATATAACTCGATACTACAGAGAGCTTAGGTCTCTAATGATTTTGTGTCTCTGCCTGAAAATCAAAACCGACAACCTGTTCTCACATAGGTAAAGAGTGTAGTTACAAAAGGCTCGGAGGTTCGGCGAACACACTGTGATCTCTGATTACGGCAGAATGCCCAGTGCATAGCAGGATTCACAAATCTGGCAGCGATTAAAATGAAGCTCTCTTGCTCAAAAAATGTCAGATGGAGCGTCGAGGAATGGAGCCAGACATAAAAACTGATAGCAAATAGTCATTTTAGTCTCAGGCATGCAACCAAGATGCCTGAGCCGACTATTTCCCACATAATTTAAGGGTTCAGTGATTGCAATGGCAATCATCACTGCGAGGGATTTGACCTTGCGTGTTCTCAGTGACGATGATCAGTAGATCAGATGGTGCGTTCAATTAATTTGGGGAATAGAACTGTCTGTTTTACACAGTTTGGAGGAATATATTTGCACTATCAAACACAAATAAGAGTATGGTAAAATGTGTAATTATCATTAACATTCTGTGCATTTTTCCCCATTGTGCATGTGCAGCGGAGAGTGCTGTATATTTCATATTAGCAGTAGAGCTTCATGCATATTTGTCACAAAATTATTGGAGGTATAAGAGAAAAACAAATATTCTAAATTATTCGCCTCTTGAGAAAACAAAGAAAAACGGATAATATGAGGCCCTGGCACGGTGTTATTAGCGTGATTGCTGCCAGCCATCTATATGAATCTAATGGATTGTATAGAAAAGTGTCTACATTTCAAATACCATACATGCTAAAGAAGTCATACTGCCATACTTGGTCAGGTAAACAAATTCAAACATATTCCCAATAGTGCCACTATGTAGCCAAATATAAAGCCAATTGTGTTTTGGCTAATAACCTATGAGGTGTGAGGTGTAGAAGAAAAAACTGAGAAGAGATTTTGTATTTGATTAGTTGTCTTTCAATTCTTTCCTATAATTGTTTGTTAAAGTCATAGAATCATAACTCTTGAATCACCAACTCTGAATTTAATATTCAATATAAAATAAATATATAACTATGGTCATACAATGATTTAATTACAACACATTACTGTAAAAACGAGTGTAATATACTCTAACATGATTTGCATATTCAAAGCTTTTAGCATCAATCTGACAAGTTTAATAATGCAGGGCAAAGATTCATGAGCATGTGCAACAAGAGGGCCTAAGAAAAGAATGATATAAAGCTCTCTGAGGCAACTTTGTGCCAATAGAAACAGAAATGACAGGACTTAACTGGAGATCTGGGAAAACTTCCATCTAAACGCTGTCAAAAATATCTGTGCGTAGCCGCTACGGTACGGGAAGGGTTAGGGAAGGATCCTGTTTACGACGAATGAAATATGGTTGAAGGGATGAATGTTTGGAAGAATGAAACTTCCTGCTGTAATTTACACATGAATATGTGATGGAGATTCTCCTGCTTATGTTGAGCGTAATTCATCTTGACAACATGTACTCTTTCGACGGCGGCAGCTGGAAGCGGCAACATCTGGCAGCGATCGCAAACATTTTTAAGAGAACACACGTTGTGTTGTTACACTTCCAACAAGCTGTGGTGGTGTTTTAAAAAAAACACTTGCAGCTAACTCCACACATTCCCTGCCTGGTTACAAAATGAACGCAACAACACAAGGGACCAAAAGACTGAACACACCGTTTTCTTAATCTTAAATTGGACTAGTTTTATTCAGCTGTTAGGACAACTGATGATGGAACTGGTTGTTATGTAACGATCCAGCCAAACCCACACGTTGTGAAGATTAATTATGCTTAAAATCATGTGTTCATATGTTAAATACACCCCATACATTTCATTGTTTCAAACATTCCTCCCTGTTTTCTCTCATTTTCTTGACCATGTCTCCCTTGATAGCGAGGCCAGTCTCAAAGGAACTAACCTGCATACAATGAAATTAAATGAGAACGGAAA